TGAAGAGAGAGAGTTTGACTTCTTCATTGCCAATTTGGATACCTTTTATTTCTCTTTGTTGTCTGATTGCTGTTGCTAGGACTTTTAATACTATGTTGAACAAGAGTGGTGAGAGTGGGCATCCTTGTCGTGTACCTGATCTCAAAGGGAAGGCTGCAAGCTTTTTCCCATTGAGGATGATATTTGCTGTGGGTGGTTCATAGATAGATTTGATGAAGTTCAGGAATGTTCCCTCTATCCCTATACTTTGAAGCGTTTTAATCAGGAACGGATGCTGGATTTTGTCAAATGCTTTTTCTGCATCAATTGAGAGGACCACGTGGTTCTTCTCTCTTCTCTTATTGATTTTTTCTATCACATTGATTGATTTGCTAATGTTGAACCATCCTTGTAGCCCAGGGATGCATCCCACCTGGTCATGGTGGATAATCTTTTTAATGTGCTGTTGGATCCTGTTTGCTAGGATCTTGTTGAGAATCTTAGCATCCATATTCATTAGTGATATTGGTCTGAAATTCTCCTTTTTGGTAGGGTCTTTGCCTGGTTTGGGGATCAGGGTAATGCTAGCTTCATAGACAGAGTCTGGAAGTTTTCCTTCTGCTTCAATTTTTTGAAACAGCTTCAGGAGAATAGGTGTTATTTCTTCTTTGGAAGTTTGGTAGAATTCCCCAGGGAATCCATCAGGTCCTGGGCTGTTGTTTTTTGGGAGGTTTTTGATCACTGCTTCAATCTCGACCATTCTCTTACACCATACACAAAGATAAACTCAAAATGGATAAAAGACCTCAATGTGAGACAGGAATCCATCAGAATCCTAGAGGAGAACATAGGCAGTAATCTCTTCGATATCAGCCACAGCAACTTCTTTCAAGATAGGTCTCCAAAGGCAAAGGAAACAAAAGCCAAAATAAACTTTTGGGACTTCATCAAAATCAAAAGCTTCTGCACAGCAAAGGAAACAGTCAACAAAACAAAGAGGCAACCCACGGAATGGGAGAAGATATTTCCAAATGACACTACAGACAAAAGATTGATATCCAGGATCTATAAAGAACTCCTCAAACTCAACACACACAAAACAGACAATCATATCAAAAAATGGGCAGAAGATATGAACAGACACTTCTCCAATGAAGACATACAAATGGCTTATCAGACACATGAAAAAATGTTCATCATCACTAGCCATCAGGGAGATTCAAATTAAAACCACATTGAGATATCACCTTACACCAGTTAGAATGGCCAAAATTAGCAAGACAGGAAACAACATGTGTTGGAGAGGATGTGGAGAAAGGGCAACCCTCTTACACTGTTGGTGGATATGCAAGTGGGTGAAACCTCTTTGGAGAACAGTGTGGAGATTCCTCAAGAAATTAAAAATAGAACTTCCCTATGACCCTGCCATTGCACTCCTGGGTATTTACCCCAAAGATACAGATGTAGTGAAAAGAAGGGCCATCTGTATCCCAATGTTTATAGCCACAATGGCCACGGTCACCAAACTGTGGAAAGAACCAAGATGCCCTTAAATGGACGAATGCATAAGGAAGATGTGGTCCATATACACTATGAAGTATTATGCCTCCATCAGAAAGGATGAATACCCAACTTTTGTAGCAACATGGATGGGACTGGAAGAGATTATGCTGAGTGAAATAAGTCAAGCAGAGAGAGTCAATTATCATATGGTTTCACTTATTTGTGGAGCATAACAAATAGCATGGAGGACATGGGAGTTAGGGGAAGGGAGTTGGGGGAAATTGGAAGGGGAGGTGAACCATGAGAGACTATGGACTCTGAAAAACAATCTGAAGGGTTTGAAGAGTTTGGGGGGTGGGAGGTTGGGGCAACCAGTTGGTGGGTATTAGAGAGGGCACGGATTGCATGGAGCACTGGGTGTGGTACAAAAACAATGAATACTGTTATGCTGAAAATAAATTTAAAAAAATGTTTAAAAAAAAAGAAAGAAATGGATCCATTCATCCACTGATGGACCAACGTTATTTCCTCTTTGGTGCTACTGTGGATAATGTTGCTATGAACATTTATGTACCTGTTTTCGTATAAACATACATTTTTTGATTTGTTCATTTTGCGGGGGAGCACATAGCTACAATGGAATAGCTGGGTCCTATGGCAATTTTGATACAGTCACAGAATAATTCTTTTGAGGAAATGCTGAATCATTTTTCCACAGCAATGATCCCATGTTTCATTCCCACCAGCAATGCATGAGGGCTCCTGTTTCTCCACATTCTCAACAACCCCTCTAGTTGTGTATTATTATTATTATTCATTACTGTTACTGCCATTCTGCTGGCTATGATGATTTTCATGGTATGTGACTTATCTCAGTTTAAAAAGTAAGTAGTGGACCAGGAAATGTGTGCAAGCTCAGTTCTCAGTAACCAGCCTCTAAACACAAGAGAATCCCCTCCCTGCTAAGGCCATTTTCTTAACCAGGGACCCCCCTAGTTACATGGGCACCAAAACATTTCCTAAAACCCCTCAACCTATAAATATGTAGCTCCTATTAAGGATGGGGACAATCTTGGTGGACCTTTCTGTGATGGAACCAGTTCATCAAAGCCTAGCTTGTGCTCAGGAATCTGTAGTAAAGTGAGAACTTAGATATTGTTTGCTCTATGTTATTTCTCTTCCTGTGAGCCTCATTAATAAATTGTTGTTTGAGGGGCACCTGGATGGTTCAGTCCATTACGCATCCAACTCTTGGCTTCTGCTCAAGTGATGCTCTCATGGTTCTGAGGTGAAGCCCTACATGGGGCTCTGCACTGACTGTGGTGCTTGCTTAAGATATTCTCTCTCTCTCTCTCTCTCTCTCTCTCTCTCTCTCTGCCACTCCCCACCTCACATCTGCATACTCTTGCTCTCTCTCTCTCTCAAAAAAATAATAATACATAAATTTTTATTTGAATTTATATTAAACATGAGGAAGTATCTACTATGGAATACTATGCAGTCATAAAAAGGAACACATTGTTGATAACACACAATAACTTGGATGCATCTCAAGGGCATTGTGCTGAGTGAGAAAAGTCAATCCCAAAACATTACATGATAGGTGAACCTTTCCATGTATATATAACATTGTCAAAATGATGAAATTCAATAGAACAAATTAGTACTTGCAGGGGGTAGAAATGGTGGGAGGGGAGAGGGTAAATATAATCATAAAGGGGTAGCGGGAGGGATATCTTTGTGGGGTTGGAAGAGCTCTGTATCTTGAGAGCCGTGGCAGTTACACGGATCTACACATATGATAAATTGCGATAAATCACATAGAGCTAAGTACAAATACCGCGTCAATGTCAGGTCCCTGGTTTTATGTTGTACTGTAATTATGCAAGACGTAGCCATTGGGGAAATCTAGGCAAAGGGTATACGGAATTCTTCTGCATTGCCTTTGCAACTTCTTGTGAACCTACCTCTCAAAATTAAAAGTTTTAAAATTCCAAGGTTGGGGGAACCAGGTGGTGGGTATTGGAGAGGGCACGGATTGCATGGAGCACTGGGTGTGGTACAAAAAACAATGAATACTGTAATGCTGAAAATAAATTTAAAAATGATTTTAAAAAAAGAAATACATGCACACACACACACATGCACACACACATGTGTGCACACATACACACGTGCATTGTGCGTTTGGCAAGACAGCCTCCATACTGCCCTCCACCACACATGTCAGCACATTCTTGTCCGACTTGGCTCTTTTCAACATGCTTCTGTTCCTCAGGGTTTGGGTCTACCCTGTGACACAGGAAGTGTTGGCGAGGTCACAGACTGATGCACAACTTCTTAAGGCACAGGCTGGTATGTGATACACCAGAATCAAGTAAGATGCTTTGAGAATGGGAGAATATGATGGCCCACACAAAATTTAGGGCAGTCCTTCTCAAAGTGACATCCCAGAGCAGCAGCCTCAGTGTCACCTGAAAACTTGTTAGAAATGAACATAACTGGGGGCCCCTGGGTGGCTCAATCAGTTAATCATCTGCCCTTGCCTCAGGTCATGATCTCGGGGTCCTGGGACCAAGCCCAGCATTAGGCTCCTTGCTCAGTAGGGAGTCTGTTTCTCTTCCCGCCTGCTGCTCCCCCTGCTTGTGCATGCTCTATCTCTCTCAGTCTTTCTCTCTCAAATAAATAAAATCTTTTCAACAACAACAACAAAAAATGAACATAACTGGACCCCACCCCAGACCTTCTGAATCAGGAACTGGTGAGATCCAGAAGCCTGGATCACCTCCAGGTGATTCTCAGGCCCCCTAATGTTTGAGAACCATGGCCAATGGAATCAGAGACTCAAAACTAGCGTCCAGGAATCTGTGATTTTATAAGCCACTTGGATTATTCTTTTCCACATTAGACATTATAAATCATCCCCCTAAGGCTGGAGAGAAGTGGAGATATAGGGCAGCACAGTAATGAATATCTAATATTATTATACCCATGTTCTTTATACACACAAATAAGTGATTTTTTAAATAAATCAAATTTGTGAAAGAGACAAAGGAATTAAATAGAAAAATCTAGATAAAGGGGAGAAAGAAAAGAAGGGGTCTGTGGGTCTATACCCCAGACACTGGGATAAATCCTGCAGAACTTACCCGTCACAGAGGAAGGTGGTTCCATGGGTAACGAGGCGGGGGTCACAGAAGTCCCTGGGAAATCATAAAAAGAGAGAGTTCTGTGCTCTGCTAGCTATGGGTCCTGAGCAAACAAAAAAGCATTCTGCAACCCAGTCTCCTCACCTAGAAGATGAATACAGAGAAGCTCACATCACTGGACGGTCCTGGGTGTTAAATAGCACTGAGCACATTCTGAGACTAATTAAAAATGACAATCTCTGCAGCTGCCCTCCCTGCTCTTTGAACTTCAGTTCTGTTCCTCTTTCTGGACCTCTGGGATGTGCACCTGACTTTGTCCCTAGGAGCAAAACTGGCTCTTAAGTCCTGGGAAGCAGATGAGAAGGCAGAAGCCATGGGATACATGTAGGGAGAAAGGGTGATGCTTGTGTCACAGAACACAGCCCCTTTCCAACCCCACCACCCTAGCTTTGTAGTTACACCAACCTGCCAACCTCCTTTCACCCCAGGACATTTGCTCATGCAATCCCACACACCTGCAGCCCGTCCCACCGCTCTTACCTGTTTATCTCTTACTCTGCCCTAAGAGCAAGGTCAAACATTGGCTGCTCAGAGAGGTGTTCCCAAACTGCCTGCCTTTCGAGGTTCTAACAGCACTGTGTACTTCTAACTCATTTGGCATATCCCAGGGACAACAGTGTGGTGTTGGATACTCTCTAAGCCTGTTTGCTCTAATTACTATAAGTACATATCACGTGTGTGTGTGTAATACGTGTGTGTGTAAAGGAAAAGATACCATAGAGAGAGTGAGTTTCAAGTCCCCAGCAGAGCACAGCCACAGCAGAGACACTTTTGAAATATGTTCAATTAAAGAAGCAATAATTGAGCAGGGACCCAAAAAAAGACAAATCTATAAAGGCAGGAAGATTAGTGGTTTCCTTGGGCTGGAGGGAGGGGAAGGGAGGGGCTGCCTGCGGGCAGGAAGGATGAGATATGGTGGTGGAGATGTTCTAAAACTGGACTGTGGTGGTGACCACAGAACTCTAAATTTACTAAAAACCGCTGCATTGTACAACTCAAATAGGAGACTGTCTGTTCAGCTCCTATTACACGCCAGGAGCTACTGTCTGTGCTGGGGATACAGCAGAAAAGAAAACGGACGCAAATGTCTGTCTTGAGCTTACCTTCCAGGATGCAGGGGGCAGACAGGTGACAAACACCATAAGTCAGAACAATGTATGCACAGGTGTGGATGCCGTGGAGAAAAATTGGGCAAAGAAGATGGCAAATAGCATCAGAGAGGCAAGAATGGGACCTTTGATAGAAGGCTTGAAGGAAGCAGTGGGTTGAGCCATGAGATCTGGAGAAAGCCTCCCAGCAGGTGCAAGGTCCCTGAGGACACAGTGAGCCTGAGTATATGAGGGAAAGCAAGACGGGAGACGGGATGTAGTCAGTAATATTGTAACCACTTTGTATGGTCACAGACGGTAACTAGATTTATCCACGGTGACCATTGCACAATGTATATAAATATCAAATCACTATGTTGCACACCTGAAACTAATACACCATATGTCAATTAGTCTTCAATTTAATGGGGGGATGCTGATGGTTCTAAGCCAGAGTGGATGAGGGCAGATCAGCAGGTCAGGTAAGCAGACAGGTAGAGAAGGGGCTTGGTGAGACGAGAGGAGCGAGTGCTATGGGCTTTGAGCAAAATCATCTGATTTTAACAGCCTGCTGTAAAGGGGTTCCTCTTGCCATCGTTCTGCAAACATTCTAAAGAGGCAAAGATATACAAACTTGCAACCAGTAGATGCAAATAAGTCCTAGAGATTAATGCACAGCATACGGTCAACCGCACTATATTCCAGATTTAGTTGCTAAGAGACAAGGTCTGTGGTGGTCTCACCACAAAAAAAAAAAGCAATGGCAATTATGTGACAGGTTGGAGGTATTAGCTAATGCTCCAGTGGTGATATGTTGCAACACATAAATGTATCAAATCAAGACGTGCTACATCTTATACAATGTTATATGTCAATTATATCTCAATTAATTGATTTTTTTGCATTAAAGGGGACAAAGGTAGACACAGAGGGACCAGTATATGGAGCAAATCAGTTCTACATGCAGATGTGCTCCCTTGTCAGATCAGGGACAGGCTTCAGAGATGTGGTAGGAAGCATGAGTTGGGCAAAGACAGCAGGATTTACAAGAAAATGCCTCTGAGTATTGCAGCAGAAAAATGTGTCCTTTAAATGTACATTATATGTACCATCTTTAACATTCATTTTAAGTGCACAGTTCAATAGTATTAAGTGCATTCACATTGTTGTGCAAGAAATCTCAGAACTTTTTCATCTGCAGACCTGGAATTCTATGCCCATTAAACAATACTAACTCCACTTTTTCCCTCTATCAGCCTTTGGTAATTCCCTTTCTACTCTCTGCCTCTATGGCTTGGATGACTTTCAAATGCCTCCCAGGAGTGGAATCAGATGATATATGGCCTTTTGGGGCTGCTTTATTTCACGAAGTGTGACGTTCTCCAGGTTCATCTGTACTGTAGCACATGGCAGGATTGCCTTCCTCTTTGGGGCTGCATAATAGTCCGTTGTGTGTCTGCACCACAGTTTCTTTATGAACTATGTTGTCCTCTTTTGAAAGAGGCATGCTGTAAGAATGAAAGACTGATAGTGGCTACAATGCAAACACAGCTCAAAAGCATGAGGCTGACTGAGAGAAGCAAGTCACGAAAGACCCCGTGTTCTAGGACTCCATATATATGCAGTTCCTCAAAGAGGCAGACTGATAGAGATAGGAAGTCGTTTGTGGTTGAACGGAAAATGACGGCAAACCGGTGCCAGGGGTCCTGCAGAGGTGATGGAGATGGGCCGACTGGGCTGTGGTGATGGTTGCACAATGCTGTGAACTCACTGAGTACCATGGACACGTAAAGTGGGTAACCTTATAGGTCTAGAAACCGTACCTGAATAAAACAGAATGGAAGGCCATTTCTAGTGTATAATGACCTCACTAGCTAGATTTCAACAAAAATAAGTCTGAATACAAGTACATTTTCATTTTACCCTGTACTATATTAATCCACTGGAGACCAAAAGGATAAGACTTTTCCCTTTGCTGGGAGATGGATAAGGTCATTAGTCTTTTGTATACTGGGGCATTTCATTTTTTTAATTTTACTTTATTTTTTCAGTGTTCCAAGATTCATTGTGTATGCACCACAGCCAGTGCTCCATGCAATATGTGCCATTTTGTTTTTTTTAATATTCATTTTTAATTTTAGAGAGTACATAAGCAGGGTGGGGAGGGCAAAGTGGGAGGGAGAGGAGGGGGGAAAGAATCTCAGGCAGACTCCATGTTGACCACAGAGCCCCATGCAGGGCTCTATCTCATGACCCTGAGATCATGACCAGAGCTAAAACCAAGAGTCTGACAGTTAAAGAACTGAGGCACCCAGGTGCCCCTATTGAGGCATTTTCAATAAATAAGTCATTGGGGCGCCTCACTGACTCCCTAGGAAGAGTATGCCACTCTTGATCTCAGGGTCAGGAGTTTGAGCCCCATGATGGGTTTAGAGATTATAAAAAATAAATAAATAAACTTTGGCGCCCCTGGATGGTGCCATGGGTTGAGCATCTGACTCTTGGTTTCAGTTCAAGTCGTGGTGCCATCAGTCCATCCCACATCAGGCTCTGAGCTCAGCACGGAGTCTGCTAAACTTTCTCTCCCCCCTCCCTCTGCCCCTCCCAGTATGCGCTCTCTCTCTCTCTCTCTCTCTCTCAAGTAAATTAATCTTTTAAAAAATAAAATGAACTTTAAATAATTCCTTTGCTTCAATACTTGTGAAGGAACATAGCAGTAAAACAGTGGTGAACAGAAAACATCAATAATGGTTTTTAAATCACATCAGTTGCTGTAAAGGATTTAGCAGCAAGTGTTGCGTGGAAAGGCCTTGTACTTAGACTATTGCAAATAAGAAAGACAGAGTGTGTTTGCATGTAAAGAGAGTCAAAGTTTCCTTCCTATTATAGTGGCATTTTTCAAAGTAATTTCCATAAGTTCTTTGCTGCTGTGTGTTTGTTTCAAATCTAGACAAGACAAAAGGCATTATCACTGGTATTAAGAACTATTTTTTCTTATTTCTTTTCTATTTCTATATACTCTGCAGTAGATAAAGTAACAGCCTCGCAAACATGCTCATGTCCCAATCCCCAGGCCCTGTGGATATGGCGTCTTGCATGGTAAACGGGAGGGTGTCAGGTGGGCGCCTGGATTTTCCAGGTGGGCACAGTGTCATCACAGGGTCCTTAAACATGGAAGCAGGAGGCAGGGAGACAGAGAGACTGATGCTACGTTGCTGCGTTGCGGGCTTTTGTGATAAAGGAAGGGACCGCGGGAGCCAAGGGGTGCAGGCACTTCTAAAATCAGGGGAAAGCACAGGACAGATTCCCCCCTGGGCCCTCCAGAAGGAACGTAACCCAGCTGACACCTTTGTTTTGTCCCAGGGAGACCCATTTGGTACCTGACCTCCAGAAATGGAAGGTAATAATACATTTATGGTTTTTTAAGCCACTAGATTAGTGGTGATTTGTGACAACTAATATACCCTCCAAAGCTTCATGCCTCTCCTGGCTTCCCACCTCCTTCACACGTGTTGGCCCTCCCCTGAAACTTCAGCACACTGTGCAAGAGCTGAAGAAGGAAGGCTTGGTCTGCAGCTCCCTCACCTGTGACCACAAGCTCCAGGGGGTCGCTGGGGGCCGACCACAGGTACGGCAGCTTGCTGGAAAAGCTGTAGCATCGGTAGGTCCCACTGTGGGCGGCAGTCACTGCAGTGATGGGGAAGTCAGCCCCGTACTGCTTCTCAGATCCCTTCTGGGGCCCAGCGTCCCCTTCCTTGTACAGAGCAAATTGGTCAAAACTGAATTGGCTTCGACACTGGAGAGTGACTTCCCCTCCTGGGGACACAGCTGCGCTGGGCTGGGCTGAGATCGAGGGCTTGTTGAGATAAACTCCTGGGAGAAAAGAGAGCTCTGGTGTTAAAGACCGTGGCCAGCATGTTGGCCATGGGGGTGGGCAGGTCCCCCCACCTCCTAAGAGCTAGGGAACTTTCCAGGTATATCCATCCTTAGAGAACCCACTCGCCCTGCCCCCAGCTCACAAAAGGGTTAAGGGAGCATAACCAGGATCCTATCACGGTGCCTGGGCTCAGATCCTCGTTCTGTCCCTTAGGGGCTGTGTGATCCTGGAAAGAAATCCACCCTTCTAACTGTGCCCCAGTGTTCTTTACCGTAAAAATGAATCGTTGAACACTATGTCAAGAACTAATGATGTACTACATGTTGGTTAATTGAATTTAAATTTAGAAAAAGAAAATGAGAATGACTGAATGAAGCAACGTAGCACAGTTGCTTAATACATAGGGAGCTCCCAAACTACGACGGTAGTAACAAGATAGCAAACTGCTATAGTGCAGTTTTTAAACCAAAATTAATTCAAATAATTCACACTGAACAAAATAACCAAGATTGTAAACAAAAACACTCCAGCTGTGACTCATGGAGAGGCAAAAGGCTCAAAACGCTTTCATGCATTTTTATGGTTAATTCTTTCCACACTATTAACATATTGAAAAATTGAAAAACTTTAAACTAGGCTATTCAAATTCATAAATTATTGGAAGTTTAAATATTTGATTCATACAAAAAAAAATTTTAAAGAATTCATTATCCTTTTACTCTCCTGGCCTTAGGGAAACAAACTCATCAATGATATTTTCAAAATCTCTCTGGAAAATAACCACTTGAAAATGCATTAGAAATAAAAGCACAAGCCGAGAACATTTTATTCCATCAAAAAGTAAAAAAGAGGGGCGCCTGGGTGGCTCAGTGGGTTAAGCCTCTGCCTTCGGCTCAGGTCATGGTCTCAGGGTCCTGGGATCAAGCCCCATGTCAGGATCTGCTCAGTGGAGAGCCTGCTTCCCCCTCTCTCTCTGCCTGGCTCTCTGCCTATTTGTGAGCTCTCTCTCTCTCTGTCAAATAGATAAAATCTTAAAAAAAAAAAAAAAAAAGTAAAAAAGGAGGCATTGGAATGTGGATAGAGCGTAAACATGTTGCCTTTGGCATGGGGCTCAGGTACAGCTTGAAAGGGCCCTGCCTTGTTGTGTCTTGACTTAAAAGTGTGATACTTTGTTCAGCGTGGGTGTTTTTGCATTGATTTTGATTGTTTTAGAAAGATCCTGCATTGGGGTGCCTGGGTGGCTCAGTTGGTTAAGCGTCTGCCTTCAGCTCAGGTCATGATCCCAGGGTCCTGGGATCCAGCCCCACATCAGGCTCCCTGCTCAGCAGGAATCCTGCTTCTCCCTCTCCCTCTATGTCTGCTTGCGTTCCCTCTCTTGCTGTGTTTCTGTCAAATAAATACATAAAATCCTAAAAGAAAGAAAGAGAGAGAGAGAGAGAACAAAGAAAGGCGGGCAGGCAGGCAGGCAGGAATTGCGCTGACCTAGCACTTGCGTATGCTCACTGCACCTCCCCTATGAAAGTAGCTAGCACTTAGATCCCCACCCAACCCCAGCCCCCTGGGTCTCGGGATTCTCTGAGTCACCCCCCTCCTCACCCTCCTGGAGCCCCCAGGCCATAGGTGCAGCTGTTCCCCCACACCCCTTCAGGTACCTGTAGCGACCAGCTCCAGCCGGTCGCTGGGCGGAGACCAGAGGCTCCCATTCTGGTAGGAGCAGCGGTAGCACCCTGCGAAACGTTCCTCCATGGACGGGATGAAGAAGACAGACTGGTCCTGGTAGTGGTCGGACTTCAGCTTCTCTAGGCGGTACAGGTCCACGTCCGGAGGCCCCTGGCAACGGATGGTAACCGGCGTCCTCAGCGGCACTAGGGAGCTAGGCAGGGCCTGGAGGGAGGGCTTGGGCAGCAGGCCTGGAAGGGAAGTGGAGCCTGGTGGAGGGCCGCTTTCAAACAGACCCTCCTCCCGGGGCCCCCCACTCCTCCCGCCCTCCCAGGCCTTGTGCAGGCAGAGCCCAGAGGAGGGACCCGGAACTCCAGGGGAAGGACTCACCTTGCTGAGCTTCCACCGCCTGCCCCAGACACAGCCCTGAGCAGAGAAGAAAACCACCAAAGGCTAGGACCTTCCGAGCCCACACTTCTCAATGCAAGGTGGGTGACGACACTTCTGCAGGCAGTAACTTTCTCTCGTCTTCGCTTTTCTAAGGACACACACTCACATAATTGAGGCACCAAAGGCAGCCAGCCATAGAAGGCTGCATATTGTACAATTCTATGTATCTGAACCCTGCTCACTAGGTCAGTCTGCAGGCATACAGAGAGATTACTGGTTGCCAGGGGCGAGGGAAGCAGGATGGAGAGCTGATTGTCAGGGGTATGGTTTCTTTCTGGAGTGGTGACAGTGTCCTGGAATGAGGCAGAGAGGATGGCTGTATGCCTTGTGAATGTACTGTCACGAATGATAAATTTTATGCTGTTTATTATTTTACCACAGTTTTTTAAAAGACAAACATTTTTCAAAATGCTGGAGCAAACAATCCTAAAATTTGCGTGGAAACAGAAGAGACCCTGAATCGCCAAGGAGATGTTGAAAAAGAAAAACAAAGCTGGGGGCATCATGTTGCCCGATTTCAAGCTTTATTACAAAGCTGTGATCACCTAGACAGCATGGTTCTGGCACAAAAACAGACACACAGACCAGGGGAACAGAGTAGAGAGCCCAGATATGGACCCTCAACTCAATGGTCAAATAATGTTCGACAAAGCAGGAAAGAATGGCCAATGGAAAAAAGACAGTCTCTTCAATAAATGGTGCTAGGAAAATGGGACAGCTATGTGTAGAAGAATGAAACTTGACCATTCTCTTACACCATATGCAACGATAAACTTGAAATGGATGAAAGACTTCAGTGTGAGACAGGAATCCACTGGGACACCTGGGTGGCTCAGTCATTAAGCATCTGCCTTCAGCTCAGGTCATGATCCCAGGATCCTGGGATCGAGGCCCACATCCTGCTCAGTGGGGAGACTGCTTCTCCCTCTCCCTTTGCTGTTCCGCCTGCTTCTGCACTCTTACTCATGATCTCTCTCTCTCAAATAAATAAATAAATAAATAATCTTTTTTTTTTTAAAGGAATCCATCAAAATCCTAGAGGAGAACTTAGGCAGTAAATTCTTTAACATCGGCCACAGCAACTTCTTTCAAGACATGTCTCCAAAGGCAAAGGAAAGAAATGCAAAAATTTTAGGACTTCATCAAGATCAAAAGCTTCTGCACAGCAAAGGAAACAGTCAACAAAACAAAGAGGCAACCCATGGAATGGGAGAAAATATTTGCAAGTGACACTACAGAAAAGGCCTGATATCCAAGACCTATAAAGAACTCCTCAAACTCAACACACACAAAACAGATAAGTCAAAAAATGGGAAGAACAAACAAACAGACACATGAAAAAATGTTCATCATCACTAGCCATCAGGGAGATTCAAATCAAAACCACATTGCAATACCACCTTACACCACTTAGAATGGCCAAAAGTACCAGGACAGGAAACATGTGTTGGAGAGGATGTGGAGAAAGGGGAATCCTCTTACACTGTTGGTGGGAATGCAAGTTGGTGCAGCCACTTTGGAGAACAGTGTGGAGATTCCTCAAGAAATTAAAAATAGAACTTCTCTATGACCCTGCAATTGCACTACTGGGTATTGACCCCAAAGATACAGATGTAGTGAAAAGAAGGGCCATCTGTACCCCAATGTTTATAGCAGCAATGGCCACGGTCACCAAACTGTGGAAAGAACCAAGATGCCCTTCAATGGACGAATGCATAAGGAAGATGTGGTCCATATACACTATGGAGTATGATGCCTCCATCAGAAAGGATGAATATGCAACTTTTGTAGCAACGTGGACGGGACTGGAAGAGATTATGCTGAGTGAAATAAGTCAAACAGAGAGAGTCAATTACCATATGGTTTCACTTATTTGTGGAGCATAACAAATAGCATGGAGGACATTAGGAGAAGGAGAAGAGAAGTGAGTTGGGGGGAATCAGAGGGGGAGACAAACCATGAGAGATTGTGGACTCTGAGAAACTGGGGGCTTTGGAGGGAAGGGGTAGGGAGTTGGGAGACCCTGGTGGTAGGTATTAAGGAGGGCATATAGGGGCGCCTGGGTGGCTCAGTGGGTTAAAGCCTCTGCCTTCAGCTCAGGTCATGATCTCAAGGTCCTGGGATCGAGCCCCACATTGAGCTCTCTGCTCAACAGAGAGCCTGCTTCCCCCTCTCTCCCTGCCTCTCTGCCTACTTGTGATCTCTCTCCCTCTGTGTCAAATAAATAAGTAAAATCTTTCAAAAAAATAATAAGAAGGGCACATATTGCATGGAGCACTCAGTGTGGTGCCTAAACAATGGATCTTGGAACACTGAAAATACAAAATAAATTTTTTTAAATGAGATTTAAAAAAAACATACATTTAATGGCCCCTGGATGGCTCAGTCGTTAAGTGTCTGCTTGCAGCTCAGGTTGTGATCCCAGGGTCCTGGGATCAAGCCCCACATCGTGCTCTCTGCTCAGCGGGGAGCAGGCTTCTCCCTCTCCCACTCCCCCTCCTTGTGTTCCCTCTCTCGCTATGTCTCTGCCAAATAAATAAATAAAATTTAAGAAAAATATATACTTAAAAACTAATGATGTGCTAAAACTAATGATAGTGACTAACATAACACAAACAAAAAAAAAAGCCATCCAGGAATTCCTTACACCCCTCCCCATGCACACACTTTGGACAACTCTAAAGAGAATTATCTCCTCTCTGAAAAGGGGGCTGTGTCCAGGATGTAGTCTCTTTTTTATCCTAGCTTTATCAATATACAATTGATGTACAATGTTATGTAAATTCAAGGTGTGTGTGTTGATTTGATATTTATATATCACAAAGTGATTTCTGTCACAGAATTAGCTAATATTAACCAATTATTATTACATAATTAGCTAATATTAGCTAATTAGCTAACACCTCCATCCTGTCACATAATTACCATTTCTTTTTTTGGTGTGAACATTTAAGATATTCTGCAAGAAGGTGTTATTGGCTCAAGCCCACAGTAGGTGCCAATGAGTGTGTTAATGAATGACTGACAGGTGGTCTGTGCTCATGGCGTGTTTCCTTATCCCCATAGCACAGCTGTTCCTTCCTGCTTGGCCCCTTGAGCCTCTGTCCTTTTAGCAATAAGGCTTTTCTGAATAAATGAGGGAACTGGGCACATGACCGGCCTCACGGGGGCAGGCAGTAAGCACACAGGAACCTATCACCAACCCCGCTAGGAGAGACTCTTCCGGCAGACTTGCTGAGGTGCTGTTGACAAAGAGAAGCCGCATATCCAGGGTGACCAACGTTGTGATCTGACGGACATGCACACTGTCAGGTGATCAACATAATCAAGCTAATTAACCCGTCCCCCGCCTCACATAGGTTGTTTTGATTTTTGATTTTTATTTTTTGTTTTTATTTATTTTGTATTGTGTTATGTTAGTCATACAGTACGTCATTAGCTTCTGATGCATGGTTCCATGATTCATTGTCTGCGTGTAACACCCAGCGCTCCCTGCAGTCCATGCCCTCCTGAATACCTACCACCGGGCTCACATAGGTTGTTTTGATTTTTGGTTTGGTTTGGTTTGTTTTGGTGAAAATGCATAAGATCTACTCTGTCAGCAAGTTTCTACAGTATTGTTGCCTTAATCACTCTTCTGTGCATTAGATCCCCAGAACTCACTCATCTTACAATCAGAAGGTTGTTCTCTGTCCCCCTACCTCCCCGTTTCCCACGTGCAACACCCCCAGACTCTGGCAACCACCAGTCTGCTCTCTACCTTCATGAGTCCAACCTTTCTAGATTCTGCATGTAAGCGAGACTGTGTGATATTTTCTTTCTGCATCTGGCTTATGCCACTTGGCGTCATGGCCTCGGGGCTCACCCGAATTGTTGCAAACGGCAGGATTATTTGTTCCTATGCCGTGAGGTTTGCTGGCAAATCTGTTATCTAGTCCTGATGTCACCAAGTCCACATTAAAAATATAAATGAATGAATTAATGAATGAATGTATAGATAGATAAATAAAATTTGAAGACTGGTATACAGAGACAAATTTTCAGCCAAAACTGGAAGACCTGTTTATTTCCTGACCCACCCAGCAAGAGACTAGAATGAAGTAACAGACAAACACCACCTCCCTGGGTCCCAGTTTTCCCAACCCACCAATGAAGGGGCCCTCACAGGTCACCCATTGCCCTGAAATTCTTTTCTGATGCAATTTTTTTAACATTCTTAGTCTCATAGCCCACTGCCTATCCCTCAGCATTTCCCAGACCAACCCTCAGGACTCACCAAGACAGAGAAGGGCAGACAGGGGTGCGGACATGGTCCTTCAGCCCGTCCAGAGCTCGGTAGCCCAGGAGGGAAGCCGTAGGGGCTGGAGCGGAGACACAGAATGTGATGAGGACGCAGCAGCCTCTCCCCCCTTCCCTCATCAGCCTGGCTTTTCCCACATGAGGCTCATCAGGCTGTAGCCATCCCCTCAGTAGAATGACTTGCACACAAGCTCACAGAAGCTCCTTTATCTTCTGTCACCAGCCCAAGCCGGCCGGGCACTGAGATGGGCTGTTACCTGATGGACCTCCTTAGCAGAACAGTTTCATGGAGCTTTCCTTGGGGGAGGACATTTGAGATGATATCTGCTCACAAGAAATATTCATGGAAGACCGGCAGGTTCAGCAGGACCCAAAGCCTGGAGAGGTGAAGAGCTTGGCATTTTCATGTAGGTGGGAAGTGGTTAGTGTGGCTGGAATCAAGGACCATAAAGCTGAGACTGGAGAAATGTTAGGGGTCAGATCAGGGTGTCCCAACCTCGGCTCTGTTGACATCTGGAACCAGGTGACTGCTGGAGTGGGAGCAGGCTGTCCTGTGCTTCTGGGAGGCTCATGGCCAGTCGAGAACCACTGGGTTGGATCATTCAGGAGGTTCTGAGACTGAGATACACTGGGAGTGCAAATATCTCTTTGAAATCCTACTTACTCACTTTTCAGGCACTATTTTGTTTGATCCTCACCCAAGGCTGAGAAACAGGTGCGGCAGCCTTAGTCCCATTCAAACAGGAAAACTTGAACTTGGAAGAAAATGTATTTTTCTAGTTGGAGCGTGGGTGCTGGGAGCTGAGTAATCGACTTCTTCTGGCCTAGCACATGCACACCTGTATCGAGGCCATCCCTCTCTTCCGTGATTTGTCTCTGCCCTGTGGTTCTCATTGCAATTCTCCCCTCCAAGGAGAAGCTCTGAGATAGTTCATGCAAATTCATTCATCTCTGCAAAACTTTATTTTGGGAGCGCCTGGGTGGCTCAGTGGGTTAAAGCCTCTGCCTTCAGCTCAGGTCATGATCCCGGGGTCCTGGGATCGAGCCCCGCATCGGGCTCTCTGCTCAGCAGGGAGCCTGCTTCCCCCTCTCTCTCTGCCTGCCTCTCTGCCTACTTGTGATCTCTGTCTGTCAAACAAATAAATAACATCTTAAAAAAAAACTTTATTTTGTATCTTACAAACTGTATATCATGTTGTAAATTGTTTAATGCTATGGAAGTCATTCCTTTTTCCATTGCATGCTCAGCATTTCTGGACCATTCATATGTCTACAGGACAGTTGCTTGTTTCAACACGTTAATCTTCCCACTGTCCCAATAATGGACAGCCCGATTATGCTCAAATATCTCCACTATAAACAATACTGAGCTAAATATCACTCTACAGGTACCCTTCTGGACATATGTGGGAATCTTTATTTTTTTATTTTTTATTAACACATAATGTATCATTTGTTTCAGGGGTACAGGTCTGTGAATCATCAGTCTTACACAATTCACAGCACTCACCGTAGCACATACCCTCCCCATCACCCGGCCACCCCATCCCTACGACCCCGCTCCACTCCAGCAACTCTCAGTTTATTTCCTGAGGTTAAGAGTGTCTTATGGTTTGTCTCCCTCTCTGGTTTCATCTTGTTTCATTTTTCTCTCCCTCCTCCTATGATCCCCTGTCTTGTATCTCAAATTCCTCATATGTTAAGATCATATGATAATTGTCTTTCTCTGATTGACTTATTTCGCTTAGCATAACAGCCTCTAGTTCCATCCACGTTGTAGCAAATGATGAAAAACATATTTATATATCAACAGATGAATGGATAAAGAAAATATATTGGTATATCTATAGATCTATACATCTATAGATCTATAGATATATCAATACATATATATATAGAGAGAGAGAGAGAGAGATCTCACATCTTCTTTATCCATTCATCTGTTGATGGACATCTGGGCTCTTTCCATCATTTGGCTATTGCAGACATCACTGCTATAAACATTGAGGTGCACATGCCCCTTCGGATCACTACATCTGTATCTTTGGGGTAAATACCCAGTACTACAATTCCTGGGTCATAGGGTAGCTCTATTTTCAACTTTTTGAGGAAACTGCATAAGTGAGAATATCTTTAAAATATCTGTCCGCTGGGTGTTACACACAAACAATGGATATGGAATGCTACATCAGAAACTAATGATGTACTGTGCAGTGACTAATGTAACATAATTTTTTTAAAAAGGTATTCAACAAGAAATTGCCAGATCTTGAGTTAGGTGTGTCTTCAATTTACTCACTGCCAAATGGCCCTCCATGTTCGCTGTACCCATTCCTTCTCCTGTAGCAGGGCAAGAGGGTCCCCAGACCTCCCCACACGTCCAAGACCCAGGGCTGCCCAGCATCCTAATCTTTGGCAGATGGTGCACCAGTTTGCCAGGGCTGCCGCAGTATCACTGACTCAGCAGCTTACACAGCAAAAGTTGATGGACTAGGAGAGCATGACTAAGAGAGCATCTGTGGGAGGGCAGGAGAGAGGATGTAGTCAAGGAGAGACTCACCTGCATGTCCATCTGTCTGTCCTTCTCAGGCTGGATATCCTCCAAGACATCACCTCCAAGGAAGAATGTGGGGTTAAGCCTCCAGAGAGAACCTGCAGATTATCAAGTCCTGTAATCAACATCTCAGGGATGGCTAAGTGAAATAGGGAAGGGCAATGGCATCACATCCAGTAGGACATTCCCCCACCTTCTCTGCTTCTTCCAGGATGCCTTCTATCTTCCCTGAAAACATCCTTCCCCCACCCTAGCTGCCCCTCCTTCTCATTCCCCCTTACATTGATTTTCTTCCTGGAAGTCCATGACTGGGCTGGAGCTGAGAGAAAGGGGAAGGAAGCATTAGAGCAGGTCTGAAAAATAAGACAGGTTTCCTATGAGGGGATTCCAAATTTTCCTACCTCTTACACTTCATTCTTGGTCTCACCATCAATATTCCCCGTGGAGAGTCAGCAATCACCCTCCCACCTTCAGGGCATACCATGTTTGACCCAATGCCAGCATCAAAAAAGGAGGAAGAAGAGGGAAAGGAGAAGTAAGACAACAATGGCCAAGATCCCAATCGCCATGGAAAGGTATCCATTTTCAGGAGCAGGTGGGTCTAGGAATTAGTAAACAATAAAATCTATCATTGAACTCTTGTTGGATTAATTTACCCATTCGATAAACATTTCTTGTGTGCCTTCCCTACATGAAGCAAGTTCTTGGATGTTTGGGAAACCATAGTAAACATACCCAACAACAGAATCTATGCCTGGGAACCAATACATAGAAGTAGTGTTACACATAGAGATAAATTCTAGGATGAAACCATTTACACTGCATTATAAGAAAAGATTTCTTTAGGGGATGAGCCCTAAGAGAGAAGAAACACCCAGATCTCTGAAGCGCGAGGAGAACTGCCTCCAGGAAGAGGGAACAACATAACCGAACTCAGAGGTGAGAAAGAGTCGTGTGTGACCCACACATAGAAAAGACAAATGGTGCGTGATGGGGAAAGTGGGTCCTGATGGAGGTGTGAATGTCAGGAGAGGTCAGCAAAAGCCCAAAACTATTTAAAAATGAGTCTGGATTTAAGCCTAAATACAATAATGAACCACAAAGGGACTGACAAAAAATATTGGATTTCATATATATAAAATTTTCAATTATATATATATAATTTTCAATATATATATAAATTTATTTATATATGTGTGTGTGTATATATATATATATATATATATATATATATATAATTTTCAATGATTCATGATTTTATAGACTAAGTCAAAAGAGAAGGCATCAGGAAACATGCTGCAGGGTGTGGTTGTGTCCTAACAATGTGGTCATGGTGGAAGAAGGAAATGGACTTGAGCTTTTGAGGACAGAAATGATGAGATTTGAGACTGGGTGATGGAGTATGTAGGCACTGGGAGCAGAAGAGGAACATCAAATACCATTCTCAGTGACCTGGTCATTGGAGAGAACGGATAGCACCTAAGGAGATGGGAAGATAAGTATAAGGAGGAGGTTTTGAGATCTGTCAGGTAAGATCCCTGCTGAGATGTTTATTAGGTGTCTGAGTGGATGGTATTTTGATCAGGATGGCGTTGAAAATATAGACCGCTCTGGGCAGTGTAGACATTTTAACAATGTTTATTCTTCCAATCCATGAGTATGGAATGTTTTTCCATCTTTTTGTGTCTTCTTCAGTTGCTTTCATGAGTGTTCTGTGGTTCCTGGAGTACAGATCCTTTACCTCCTTGGTTAGATTTGTTCCAAGGTGTTTTATGGTTTTTTGTGCTATTGTAAATGGAATAGATTCTCTAATTTCCTTTTCTACAGTTTCATTGTTAGTGTATTAGAAAGCAACTGATTCTGTGCCTTGATTTTGTATCCTGCCACATTACTGAATTGCTGTATGAGTTCTAGTAGTTTGGGGATGGAGACTTTTGGGTTTTCCACATAAAATATAGACAGAGTTTGACTTCTTCTTTGCCAATTTGAATGCCTTTTATTTCTCTTTGTTGTCTGATTGCTGTTGCTAGGACTTCCAAGTACTATGTTGAACAACAGTGGTGAGAGTGGGCCTCCTTGTGGTGTTCCTCATCTCAAAGGGAAGTTGGCTGTCAGGTTTTCCCCATGGAGAATGATATTCACTGTGGGTTTTTCATAGATGAATTTTATGAAGTTAAGGAATGTTCCCTCTGTCCCTATACTCTGAATAGTTTTAATCAGGAAAGGATGCTGTATTTTGTCAAATTCTTTTTCTGCATCAGTTGGGAGGACCATGTGGTTCTTCTCTCTTCTCTTATTGTTCTGTCACATTGATTGATTTGTGAATGTTGAACCATCCTTATAACCCAGGGATGAATCCCGCCTGGTCATGGTGGATAATCCTTTTAATGTACTGTTGGACCCTATTAGCTGGAATCTTGTTGAGAATCTTAGCATCCATATTCATCAGTGATATTGATCTGAAATTCTCCTTTTTGATGGCTCTTTGCCTGGTTTGGGGATCAGTG